CATTTTAAAATTAATTTTTATTTTATGTATATGAGTATTTTTCCTGCATGGGTCTCTGTACATCACGTGCTCACACGGTGCCCAGAGAAGTTAGAAGAGAGCATCACAGCCACTGGAACTGGAGTCGTAGATGATGAATAAGAGCTACTATGTGGGTGCTGAGAACCTCACTGTGTTCTAGGCTGTCCTGGAACTCACTGTGTAGGCCAGGCTTTTCTGGAACTCACAGAGACCTGTCTGCCTCTGCCTCCCAGTGCTAAGACTAAAGATGGGCATGTCCTAAGTCATCTTGACGGGTTCTGTCCCAGAGCTGGTGCCTTTTCCTCCACTCTGCTGTGCCTCTTGGGCTCAATGTCCCGCTTCAAAGTCCAAGGCCTGGTCCACAGGAAAGAGAACCACGAGTGCACACGAATTAGCTGAATTAGTTCAGCAGGAATGACGATCTCTGGAGCAAAAGCAAGTCCTTCACAAAGGCAGGCGCTACACTTCCGATGGCACCCTAGAAGTTACCCCGTTTACCAAGCATAGGACAGATGTAGAAACCAGGATGAACCCGATTCAGACAGGGAAGATTGCCGCGACACTTCTTGGTTATGGCATCAGCTGAGGCAGACTAAAGCTGTGCTTGCTGCCTCTCACTTCCAGGGGTGCTCCTTCCTCTGTGTCTTCGGTTTCCCCGGGGAAAAGGTACCTGATGAAATCACTCACGCCTTGGAAAGTGCTGTGGATATATTTGACTTCTGTTCTCAGGTCCACAAAATCCGGTGAGTGTCGACCCCGATCCCGTCTTACAGGAAGGGGGTGGGGTTACCGGAAGCTGGAGAGAAGGGAAAAATGGATAACTTGGTTCAGCGCCTCACACGTTTTCCCTTCACATCTCTCAGCTGTGTATAACTGAACGTAAAAAAAAATAGAGCTGTTAAAACACAGTCCCCCCAAACCCACTTCCCCAGCCTTACCATGTTTTCTGTGCTCAGCATCTTTTTTGTAAATGCTCATCATTGTTCCCTCTCTCCTACAACTTCCGGCGGCGGGGTCAGGACGGTCTCCATCGGCGTGGCCAGTGGGATCGTCTTCTGTGGGATTGTTGGACACACTGTGAGACATGAGTACACAGGTGTGTAGAGCCGACTTAGTTTCATCTATTTTCAACACCTCCGTGACATTAGGCTTTGTGAGAGAGATCTTTAGAAAAGAAAGTGGGGGCGGGGGTGGCGGAGCGGGGCGGGGAGTCAGATAGGGGTTGGGCCCTCAGAGAGTTTAGTCTTTGCAAGCGAAGCAAAGCCGTGTTGCTTTGCCCACTGATAATGCCAGGTCTGCAGCGTGTGTGTTTCTGGTGCCGTGGCTGAGCATAAGAAGTCTGAGGTCAGTCAGGGGTTAGAGGATTGGCTCAGCCATTTTGAGCACTTGTTGCTTTTCCAGAGGAACTGGGTTCCTTTCCCAGCACCCACCTAGTGGATCCCAACCATCTATTAACTCCAATCCCAGCAGGCCTGGCCCCAGGAGCCCCAATAGCCGGGTCTGGTTACTCACTGAATGATTTCATCATCAAAGAGGTGAAGGGCCATAAAGCAAGACAGGGCTTTATTCGGTGTGGCCACACCAGGAGGAACAGGGGAGCTGGCATCTGCCCCTGTCTTCAAGGTGGTGATAGATCCAGGAGTATACAGAAGAGGGAACTAGGCCCAGGGGGCAAGAACTACGTGAAGCCAGAACTGGCCACACTGTGGTGTGTCCGTTGGTCTCCCGGGAAATGGTTACTGCTAGATCCCTATCCTGAGACAATTGCCTACAGGGATCGACATTCCTGACATTTGAGATAAATAGAGAAGGGGAAGTGACTCAGAGAAAGTTATGCCATTACAGGGAACAGTGTGTTAGAAATAGTTTTGTCCTCATTACAAAATACCTTGGAAAACAGCTTGAGGGAGACATTGTGGTTCGGATGTGAAATGTCCCCGCAGGCTCTGTTCTCCAACGCTTGTTCTCCAGCTAGTGATGCTGTTTTGGAAAGCTGTGGAACCTTTGGGACTATGGCCTACCTACCAGAAATGGGCCACTAGAGGCTCAAGGCCAGCAACAGAGTGATACCACCTCTCCAAAACAAAATCATGGCTAGATGTGGTGGTGCACGCCTTTAATCCCAGCGCTAGGGAGGCAGAGGCAGGTGAATCTCTGAGTTCCAGGTCACCTGGGCTACATAGTGAGCTCCAGATGAGCCAGATTACACAGAGAGACTCTGTTTAAAACAAGTGAACAACACACACATGCACACACACACACACACACCACACACACACACACACACACACACAGAATTACCAAATGATGTTTCTTTTAGCAGACATACACTATTTTGAGGAGCAGGCCGCTTATCAGTGGTTCTCAACCTGTGGATTGCGACCCCCAGGGTCACATATTAGATATTTTACATTATGATTCATAACAGTTTCAAAATTACAGTTATGAAGTAGCAATATAATAATTGTATGGTTGGAGGTCAGCACAGCATAAGGAACTGTATTAAAGGGTCGCAGCGTCAGGAAGGGTGAGAACCACTGACCTAGACCAACACATGCGTGTCCACTTCATCACAGAAGATAAGCTACATCTTAGCCAAGAGCCCTCAGGCCTGTGGCTGTCCTTACGAACACCTCGTTACATTTAAGGCCTTTCTATCCCGAAACAGACCATCCTCTTGGTCTCGCAGGTAAGAAACTTTGCAACTGGCTGAGCTAACTGTTGCAGATTGTTTGAAATAGGTACTGGCCAGCTGAAGGCTAAACTCATGTGTCATTCATGACAGACAGAAGAAACAGGGAAAAAGCCTTTGGGGGGTCTCCTCGGGTCACGTGCAGTTTAACAGCTTTTGTTTTTTTTTCTCCTCCTTTGACTTGCTCCTTCCTGTCATAGTCATTGGTCAGAAGGTCAATATTGCTGCCAGGATGATGATGTATTACCCGGGCATCGTGACCTGCGACTCTGTCACTTACGATGGCAGCAACCTACCAGCCTACTTTTTTAAAGAGCTTCCAAAGAAAGTCATGAAAGGTGTTGCAGATGCTGGACCAGTGTATCAGTGTTTGGGCCTTAATGAGAAAGTGTGAGTGTGGGCATTTGCTAGGAAAGGGGAGATTTGATAGCAAAGGATTGGTCCCCCATTTGAGATTCCGAACCATTTCACGAAGCTGAAATCTATACCTTCCCAGACCTGGGTGCAGACTCTAGCCTACCCTCCTCTTTCTCCATCCTACCAACATAGCAAGATGGAAGAGCTCGTTCTTCACATAGGCCTGAGACTCTGAGGGCGAGGATTCTTCAGCGGCTGTGCAAACAGAACCGAGTCCTGTGATTTCAGTACGTACCAGATGGACCTGGTCACCATTCGGTACCCACTGGTTGTGTTAACACTGTGCCCAAAGTCCAGAGGGTTTAAAAAGGGTAAGATACTGGTTGTGGGTCTTTCCTAAAGCCCAGCGTAGATGTGCGGATGTCCCTTTGGGCTTAAAATTGTCCAATAGGTGCTCATCACTTCATGTTAACAGTCAAATTGCTTGCAGTATCATACAAGGGAGCTTTTTCAGCTTCATCCCTTCCTGCACACCCTTAGTGGGAGTGTCCAATGGCGTGTTATCACCACTCTGCCCAAGCCATCTCTAAAATATAGCTCAGGAATTTTCCTCTCCGTGAGGGTGGCTCTGGAATTCTCCATCCCCTAACTAGACCAGGGACCCTTTTCCCCTCTGTCTAAAGCTTCTAGTGAGACTGTCTACACAATCTCACAGACTCTTCACTGATTGGTTCTAGAGATGGACCCCAGGGCCTCACACATGCTAAGCACTTGCCCTACTTCCAAATTACACGCCCAGTTCCTATGTCACAATTACTGACTTGCTGCACTTTTTACTCACCACACTGTGAGCACAGTGAGGCTGGATAGTGATTATCTTTTGGTCACTCTTACATCCCAGTGTTTGACACACAGGAGGCCTTAAACAATGATGAATAAGTAAGTGGTGCATGAATGAACAACATGGAAAATGGAGACTGTTACTTCAAGAACAAATTAGAATTTAAGTCTTAATCAGTCAACTAAGGCTGCAGTTCATTCAGAAATTTCTTTCTATTCACTTTGTATTTCTGGGGCTCAGCACCCTGCTTAGTGCTCACAGGTCATGATATGATGTTGATTGACTAAACGAACAGATAATGATCATTTTTAGTGAGCACTTATTAAATATGCATTCTGTCTCAAAAACACTGTTTATTCTTATGTTTAACTATATGATATAGAAAGTTGTCTCCATTTTGTAAATTTAAGTGCTATTAAATGACTCACCAATAGTCATCTCTCTCTAGTAAAGCCAGAGAGCCAAGTTTCAAACTGCCACAGTAACCCACTTTCACAGGCAACCATAAACCTCAGTGGTACAGAACAGCAAGCATTTCTTTTTGTAATATTGGGGCCTTGTTCATGCTAGGCCTGACCTACATCCCCCATGCAATTAACAGGCTGGGTCTTTTTTTTCCCCAGGAAAATATGGAACGCTATTGAGATTGTCTCAATTGGGCTGATCTCACTGCTTATTCACATGCCTGGGGTTGAGCAGGTGTTTTAGTTGATCCAAAGTGGCATCAGCAGAGACAGTGAGGGCAGCTGGGCTTATAGAACTAGAGCAACTTGGTTCTATGGGCCTCATCCTCCATCAGGCATGTTGTCGCAGTCATAGGTGGAGAACAAGAGGCACTTGGCTCATGCACGAGCCTCCTTCTCGTGCTCATGTTTGCTGACATCTGATTGGTCAGAGCATTCACAAGTAAAGCCAGAGCAGGAAGTCAGTACCATGCTAGACCACAAAGGGTGCAGGTACAGGTAGGGGTATGGAAGTAGGTCACTACATACAGTCAACTACCACACAAGTGCCAAAGCCTGCACACTCCATGATTTTTCTGTACTATCTCTCCAGGAAAAAAAAAAGTGTAGAGATATAGATATAGCTGTGAATAGGGCTGGGTTCCTGACCTGAAATTTTTACTGTATAAGTTAGCTGTATATTGCATGGGAGAGTCTGATCGGTACCACCAGAGAATATGACACAGTAACAAGGCAGAACAGGTAAGGGACTGATCCAAAGTAAAATACACGTGAAAATGCACATGCACCCTGGCCTGGGTTCAGACACTATCACCACTAGCTATGGGAAGTTGGACAAAATAACTCTGCTCCTCAGTTTACTCATTTGTGAAATGGACATTAGAGCAGTACTTTCCCTCTGCTTTTGGTTTAATTCGTTGTTGTGGGTTATTTCTGGCAGTACTGGGAATTGAACCTGAAACGTCATGTGTGTTGGGCGAATGTTCTCCCACTGGGCTACAGCCCCAACACAGGAGTCATACATCCTTCTTAATAATGTGTTTTTGTCAGAATTAAAGATACTGGTTTAAAAAAAAAAAAAAGACTGTCCTAAAGTACCTAGAACTGTGTTAGACATGTAGCATGTGCTCAGCAAAGTCAAGCTGTGACTGAACAGTTCACAGAATCTCACCAGGATGTGAGACTCTGCAGCACACCCAAGACTGTTGGGCTCCATTATCCCCCACCCAAGGGCTCTCGGCTGCCAATGCAGGTGTAAGAGTCATGTGCGGACTAGTGTACCCGGTCCTGCGGTAGTAGCTGGTACAAGAGCTGTTTGGAGCCCGTTACACATAGACTTCCTCTTTTCCCCTCTGGGTATTTGCAACCAGTGAGACCAACAGAAAGGCTGAAGGACTAGTCACTTCTGTTCTCAGTGTTTCTGTTTTGAATCTAACTCTTTTCTCTCTTTTTCTTTTTTTTTTCTCTTTAGTATGTTTGGTATGGCATGTCTCATCTGCAACAGATCTGAGGGTTACCCTTTGCTAGGTAGGTAGTGAGCCTTGATGTGAAACTTTCTTTTTTGGGGGGAGGGGCAACTAGAGACTAATCCAGGGCCTCATGTATGTTGTACAAGCTCTCCATTCTTAGAACTTCTTTACTGAACTCTAACAAGACATATAGAAAAGGGAGCCGATGAGAAGCATGCATCCTGATGAATTATGACAAAATGAAGATATACTTATCACCCAGGTCAAGAAATAGAAAAAAGTAAAGTCAGGGACATGGCACAATGGTTAAAGTATCTGCTATGGAAACATGAGGACCTGAGTTCAAATCCCCAGAACCCACCTAAAAAGTTGGGCATGGTTGCCTGCTTCTGTAACCCTAGAGCTGATGGGGTGGAGACAGATGGATCCCTGGCACTCACTGGCTGGAGAATCTAGCCAGTAGGTGAGCCCTGGGTTCAGTAAGAGATCCTGTCTTGGAGAAAAGTTAGAGAGTGATAATAAAAGATGCCTACTGTCAACCTCTGGCCTCCATGTCCGTGAGCACACATGAGCCCAGGCCTGTACATCTATACACTGCCCGTGTGCGCATATATACTCATACAAAAGAAAAAGGGAAATAGCAATGTGTTAGGAATCTTCACTGCCTTCCTGCTTCCTCCCTCCCCACCTCTCCCTGTCCCAGAGCTTCTAACATTCTGGCTTATTTTTTGCTTATCTAAAAACTTACATAAAGCTGGGCATGGGGACATGCAGCTTGAATTCCTGTACTCAAGAGGCAGAGACAAATAGATCCCTGTGAGTTTATGGTCAGCCTGGTTTATGTAAGAACTCCAGGTCAGCGAGGGCTGCATAGTGAGACCTTATCTAAATAAACAAATAACTTAAATCCAGCCTGATGACTGCCCCACTATTCAGGAGGCTGAGGTAGGAGCATCTCTTGATCCCAGGAGTTTAGGGCCACCCTGGGCAACATACAAAGGCCTCATCTCTTAATTTATGCTCATGGAACCATACTTTTAAAAAATGATTTAATAGTGCCCGTGCAAAAGGAGGGAGGAGAGGGTTGGACGTGCAAGAGATGCGGGACATGCCAACATGGCCAGGGCTTCTGTTGTGGGAAAGGGGGAGAAGAAAAGAACAGAGCTGGAGCAGGGGTAGAGGAGGGAAGTGGGGAGGCACTGTGTCTGCACTTTCCACTCCCAGGAACCACCTCTGTGTAGCTAGAGTTTTCCTGCCTTGCCCACAGTCAGGACAAATCTTTGTCACC